AAAGCAACAAACTTGGCACAGTTGTAGAAACACTTGATCTGAGTGGAAAATGATTTCGGGGCAAGTGATCCGGAGTGGTCTTCATGGATTTTTTAGTCTCTGACCCCAACCCCTATCAGGCGGGGAGGGGGTACATTATAAAAAATAAATAAAAATGGTTGTGAAGTAAATTTTTTTAAATGACTTCATTTGGTGATTGCTCTGAGCCTTGAAATTGAGACAAACTGATTGTAGATGTGGTGTTAAGTGTGGAAAATGCATTTTGACCCAATTATCTAGCGTGAATTCATCTTTTAAAGGGTCAAATATGGGACATCAAGTACTGTATTTCAAGAATGTGATGTCTGATCATCTTGGAAAAATTCATACTAATAGGTGTATAAGTGTTCATCACAAATATAGAATATGGCTTGGGTAGCTCATGTATTTTTTGAAATAAAAATTATCGAAATTTGAATTTCTAAGCCCTTGCGGCCTAGGGGTAACCTTATTCTACCTTAATAATTTTTAAGATATGCAATGTATGGGTCTCATATGAGCTCAAAATGGTGCATTGAGTCTTGTTTTGTCATATTATTCCTATTTGGATTGAAAAATGATTGGAACTTTTCAAAAATAAAATAAAATTTCATTATCGCTTCTGAAGGGCCAGGTAACCATATTTTACCTTAATAACTTTCAAGGTTTGTAATATATGTATCCCAAATTAGCTCAAGATGATGCATATAGTTCTGTTTAATCATAATACCTCCAATAAGATGTAGAAAATGATTGAACATTTCTTAATTATTTAACCTTGAACTTTTCTTAATTATGAGACGTATGCATCTCAAATGAGTTTAGAATTGTGTCATATACTCTTGTTTTGTCATATTATTCCTTAGGAGATGTAAAAAATAATGGAAATTTGAAAAATGACATTTTTAGCTATTGACAGGTCAGGGGTGATTTTATCATATATTACCATATAATATAGAAGCAAAGGATGGAGTGAGTTTAGCAGCCCCGTCCCCATGACCGATGCCATTGGCAGCTTGGGTCTTAAAGCATTTATGACCCAAGCTGCAATAAACCATGCTGACCTATTCTCAACCAATCAGCGAGCTTGAAAGAACAAGTGGTAAATGCGTGCACATTAATGATGCGATTTCGTCAGAGAAAATGACCATATAGAAAGCCGTCCTTATTTCGACAACAAACTCTGATTAGCGCAGTGAGTTCAGAGATTCATTGAAAACTGATAGAGTGAAGACGAAGCTCTCTTTTGAGAAGGAAAGTCGAATGAATGCAAAGGGTAGTAAGTCCAGTCACCTTAGGCTGATGGGGGGGTTAATAGGTGAGCTGCTTCTGTCAACGATTCTGTCAGTGAATAATGACAGTCAATGATTGGGCACAAGAATGCCAAATGTTATCACAATAATTTTCAAGATAAAATGATCTCAAAATGGGGAAAATAGTCTGTTTTTCACTTTATTCCTACTGAGATAATGATTAACAACAATTAGAAAATTCAGTGACACATTTAAATCTCAATCCATTTATTCCATTTTTCCATAGCAGTAGAATACAGATGTAACATCACATCCAATGATTGTATGAGAAATGGGGAGGATTAAACTTTGGTCATGGGCAGGTAGATATTGATATGTTTTCTCCCTTACCATATGCTATCCAAATTGACTTTTTCAGTTTTTAACATCACATATATGCCAGGATAACCACATCAGAATTAAATGTAAGGAGTATTATTCTTTCTCTTGAAGGCCATGATTGAAGCAGTCTAACTGAAAATATTGAGAAATATCCTTGAATCTGCTTCTTCTTATAAGAGCAAGGGTGATGGCAGAACCTCACTGTTGGGCTAAAACATTGCATTGCCTCCTTAATTTATGTGGTCACTTTCTTCTTTCCATCCATTTCAAGGGTTTCAGTTTCCTCCTTGAACTGTCCTTGTTTCAGTTCCACAAGTCTCTCTAGTGCTGTTTTAAAGGTGCAACAATTAGTGCAAAGGGGCCATTCAACGATCATGGACCAGTGTCAAAATATATTCAAGTTTTGATATTTCATCAAGACTAACATATATGTTTATTTCTTTCCAAAGAAACCCCCTGGATGAACATTATTTCAGCTGATTCCTCTTGAAATGTTTTGGATCTTAAAAACCTATAAGTGGGACTCCCTTTATAGAAGCTTTGAACTGAATTTACACTTCTTAATGCTGAAATTGATAGTTTATCCATACATTTTAAGAAAATAGGTATGTCAAAGCCAAATATTGCCCTGATAGCTCAGAAAAAGTAACAAAATTGAATCTTCTACAGACCTTGTTGCCCCTTTAAGCTAGTGTCCTTGTAAACATCCCAGCTGACATCAAGGCAATGAACTATTTGCAGACTTTTACGTGGGTAATATCATATTTGCATAATCACCAAATTTTCTTTATATTTCACTGTTAGCATGTTTAACTATACATGCCCTGTCTATTATTTTGGCATCTACTATGTAGCTTAGTCATTCAACTTTGATGTTAATGAGCATAGATACAAACAGCACAAAACTGGAACAGTGAGGAAAGTATATCCTACTAATTTTCTTCTGTGGAATTGGCAAGATTTCCTAAGATGGTTGGAACAAGAGGGAGCTGTTTTCCTTCCAGGCATCAAAACTGAAACCCTGGAGGAAGATGGCAAGAAGATAGTGACCTCACAATGAGGTAATGCAATATCTTAGCCCGATAGTGAAGTATCTGCCATCACCATTCGCTCATATGAAGAAGCATGCCAAAGACTGCTTCTGTCATGACCTAATAAGAATCATAGTCAATACAGTTGATTTTGATGTGGTTTAAACTGGCAGTAACTTGTGCTGAAAATGTCAATTTGGATTGCATATGGCCTATGGTGAGGGGAAATTCCTCCAGTATGTACGACCTGCCTTAGATATTTCAAGGCCACTTGGCCTTACCATTTTTCATACAATCGCTAGATGCATTCTGCTACTACTCTTAAATCAACTGATTTGCAGGAATAGAAGGTGTACCCAGAGGTTACGCAAGTGTCCTTTTAAAAGCTTTAAATCTTTTTTGATACCCTAAAATTAGAAGACTAGAGTCCTTATTCATTCTGATGCATTCTTACCCACAGTTTCTATCACCACATGAATGTGGCTGGACTACTCCCACTGCTGATACTGAGGCCACAACATAAAATGTAGGTCATGGGGTAGATACCTGTGTCAAGAGAACAGATGCAAATGTTTGAAAGCAGGTCTGATTTGCTCTGGACTTATCAAACATTTTCATATCTTAGAAAATGTTCTATAAAACTAGATAGTATTGCCATTGGTACTAAAAAGGAATAAATGGCTGTTGAGGTTCATTTTGTTATAATTGTTAATCATTATTGTATATCTCAGTAGCAATAATATGACAAAACTAGACTATATTCATTATTTTGAGCTCATTTAATTAGACAATATGATATATCTTTGTTTAAATTTTTAAGGTAAAATTAGGTCATTCCTGACCTATCATAAACTACACTACCAATCTCAAACTGCATCAAACAGCATGGTTTCATAAACAGTGCTGTAAAAACAGTACTGAACACAGCTGTTTTCTAAAACAGTACTGAGCTGTAAAAACAGTACTGTACTATGCAGTCCAAAACAGATGGTGTTAGAATAGCATTGTACATTGCTATATAGTGCAGTACTCTGACTGCACTGTTCAGTACTGTTTACAGCGCTGCAAGAAGATGTTGCGGATTGGGGGTGTAATATGAAAATGTCATTTTCTTATAATTTCCAATCATTTTTTCACTCCTTGGGAATGATATGATAAAACAGGACTAAATATACCATCTTAAGCTCATCTGAGGTGACTATGTCTCATATTTAGAAAATTATTAAGGTAAAATAAGGTTACCCCAGGGCCATCAAGAGCTTAAGTGAAAATTTTGAATTTTTAGATATATCCGATCATTTTCTACATCTTATTGGAGGTATTATGATTAAACAGAACTATATGCAACATCTTGAGCTAATTTGAGATGCATATATTACATATCTGGGAAATTATTAGGGTAAAATATGGTTACCCCTGGCCCTTTAGAACCGAAAATGAAAATTTGATTTTTTTTTAATTTCCAATAATTTTTTTACATTTAATTAGGAATAATATGACAAAACAATACTTAATGCAACATTTAGAATTCATATGAGGCCCAAACATTGCGTATCTTAAAAATTATTAAGGTAAAATAAGGTCACCCCTAGGCCGTAAGGGCTTAAATATCCATATTTCGATAATTTATTTCTCAAAAATTACATGAGCTACACAAGCCATATATCATATGAGTGATTAACACCTATATCTCTATTAGTATGAATTTTTTCAGGATGATCAGACATCACATTCTTGAAATACAGTACTTGATGTCCCATATTTGACCCTTTGAAAGGTGAATTCACGCTAGATAATTGGGTTAAAATGTATTTTCCTTCCTAAACACCACTTCTAAAATAGGTTTTTCTCAATTTCAAGGCTCAAAGCAATTACCAAATGAAGTCATTTAAAGAAATATACTTTACAACTATTTTTATTTATTTTATTATAATGTACCCCCTCCCCGCCTGATAGGGGTGGGGGTCAGAGGCTTACAATCCATGAAGACCACCCCGAATCACTTGTCCCGAAATCATTTTTCATTCAGATCATATGTTTCTACAACTGTGCCAAGTTTGTTGCTTTCCTGAAAAAGTCGAACTACCAAAGGGACATCTGACTGCGCTATAAGGAATAAATGTAATAAGGAATGATTTAAGACCAAAATGTTGTATAATTGAAACATTTTTTCTGTAGATCTGTTTCTCCTTTTAAATTAACTCTCATTTCAATTTTTTTAAATACTGATAATTAAACTAAGATAAATCACAACTGCCATTAAAATAATGTTTGACTTGTACATTTCCTGTTTATCACATAATTACTGTTTATTTCAGGTTATTACTGTCCTGCCGGCACACGCTTATCCAATGAGTATCCCCGTCCCAGTGAAACATTTGGCAATGAAACAGGGCTCCAGAATGAGGCAAATTGTACAGAGTGTCCCCATGGCTATTACTGTGATCAGACTGCCCAGACCGCATACATGTATTCAAAGATCTTCAATGCAGGGTAGGTTATACTGGTAAAACATAAGTGGAACACCTCAAGAACCTCTAAATAAAGTGTTCCACTTGTGCTCTAAGCCAAATGACTCACAAGAAAAGTGTTCTATTTGTATATCAGAGGTGTTTTACTTGACATTTTTTGCTGCATGTAATTAAGGAAAATATCTAGGTGTATTTTGAATGAAAAGTGTATTTTGAAAGAAAATCGAGTTGGTAGTCTTCAAAATACATTTTCATGTCACCAACAGAACTGGTGACAAATTGTTATAGTCTCTAACTTTTTGGTGGTGGCAGTCAGCAGTTGATGTTTGGAATCTTTAACAAATGTAACAAATGGTAGTAGTTGACATTTGCATGTTAATGACTTGTCCTTCAGTTTTCAACATATCAGAAATATGCCTTTGTTTCTAGGCTATTACTGTGGCAACCAACTGCCAAGTGGGGAATGTGACGCAGGGTATAACTGCCCCAGTGGCATTACAACCCCTGACTTCATCATCTGCCCAGAGGGTCAATACTGCACTGAAAGCACAGTAAACCAAATCCAGTGCCCAATTGGGACATACAGCAATGTAACTGGACTGAAGAATGATACAAAATGTTTCCCATGTCCTGGAAACTTTGAGACTGAGGGTTTTTTAAAACCAAGGTGTGATCCTGGATACTATTGTCCAATAGGCTCAATATGGAGTGGTGCTCGAGCGACTGTCTGCCCAGTTGGACATTACTGCTCTGAGGGAACTTGCCCAGGTCCTATCCGCAGCAAAACCAACAACTATGTGAACTACACCCAGGATATGAAGTGCTACCTCTGCCCCCCAACACCTTCAGGTAAATTCATTGAACCATATCTTACCTGGTCACTGTGATATGAAGAGATTGAAGCTCCGTGATTCATTCCAGCTCTAAAACTTGGCCTGAGCATTTGTGTTTTAAGTCATTTCAAAAAACTGATTTTAAAAGAGAATTAAATCTTAAATGCTCTTAAACACTTATTTCTGAGTGCTCATGTTACAGGTGATTTTGCTGCAGGCAATTTGTGTAATTCTGGAGTCGATTGGGAGTTTCCACATGGCATCAATCAGTCAGTTCCTTTAAACAACAGTTACATGAGTTATTTATCTCTAAGTGACTAGGAGTTCCTTGTCTGGGTGATTTGCTCATTGGTTCAACTTGTCTTTGGATGGCTAGGGTTTGGAAGACTCCACCCTATTGGTTTTCAACATTCAACAGATGCTTTGTTTTACTGTAGGTTACTACTGCCCTAGTGGTGATGTGAACTACGCTAACTATGATCGTCTCAGCGGACACTACTGTCCAGATGGCACTGAGGCATGGAACCAGTACCCATGTGTAGCTGGGAAATACAACATATCTCATCGTACTAAAGTTGAAGACTTCTTAGATTGTCCAGGTTGGTACTGTTTCTTTTATTAAATTATGTATTTTATTGAGTCTGGGAAAACTCATCTTGTAAAAACTATGAACGTGCAGTTTAAAAAATAATAAAATTGACAGTAGAGATATTTTGAGGAGGAAACAGTGATACAAATATTATTATCATATAAGGTATGAGGTTCCTAATCCATCCGCCAAAAGGTATGACTCCTGTATAGTCCATTTAAAAACCTGTGGTATTGTTCAAAATGACGCCATAGTTGGCTTCTAGGGTACCTAGTATGCCACTATTTGGTATCAAAATAAAGAGGAGGAGTTCAACTTTCATTTGAATTACGATGATAGCGATTTAGGTCAAAAATAGTTCCGACGTGAGCATGTTTACTACGCGTTTGCCCATCATATCAGAATTGAGGAAGTGGTGGCAAACGCGAGTTAAGATAAATGGACGCTGATATCTCAAAAAGTAACCTGACTCCCTATAATTTGATGTAGATCAATCGAACCCCTATATGAAAGGTACATTTTGATATATAACACTATGGGGGGTAACCATTTTATAGTGGTCCCGAACGACATATGTGCAAAGTATTGTTATGAATTTTCGAATTTGGTGTTGGATTACGGTACTCATACCATAAATTGTAATCTCAATTGGATATTTTCTCATTCTTCCTCTTCTGTCTTGCGTTTCTGTGATCACATTACTCCATTTTCATTCAGGTGGACAGTACTGTGAATAAACAGGCCTGACAACTTCAACTGGTCTATGTAAAGCAGCTTATTATTATACTGGTAGGTCTGCAACTGCGTGACCAGAGAATACTGCCCTGAAGGATCCATTGCGCTACTGATTATTTAGGAGTAATGTCTGGTGAGTGTTTCGGAGGATATTACTGCACATCATCAGCTACTATGCCTAACCCCAGTAATGATGGTACCACTGGTTAAAGCAAAAATGTTTATGTCACAGAAAAATATAACTAGTGAGACCAATTGCATGACAGTTATACAGGTTGTCAAATGGCGTTGTGCCCCCCCCTCCCCCTTCCACAGCATAAACTAGGAGAAGTACCTATCTAGGAGAAGTACCTATACATTCTGTATGTTATTGGAAATAGCATTCAATGCTTGATAAAATAAACAGCATATGACCAAGGTCAGGTATTGCTACATATTTTTTCACAACTGAAGTATACTAGTATGGTGCTCTTTTTAATGATTTTGACGAATTCCTGCATGGACTTTTTCGGCATTGACATATACACAAGCAACAACTCCCTTAAATACTGCAGATCATATGAGGTCCATATTAATGGATAAAACAGAACACCTTATTTAAGCTACAGAGAACAGATATTCACCACTTCAGTGTTCTCCCAAATTAATGATAATGTTTCAATAAGTAAATCATTATTGAAGTTGTTTTATTATTGACAATTTCTTTTATTATTATTTTACACTTGCAATCTGCTAGTACCTGCTGCACAATATGATTTATAGAACCTTCATGCAATTTAACAGTATTACATAAGTTTGTATAATTTATTATTTCAGGGGACATTTGTCCTCGTGAAGAATTCTGTCCAAATGGTACAGCTGCTCCTCAACTCTGTCAGGCTGGTTACTACCTCAACAGCACTGGCAATGATGACGTCTCAGACTGTGAACTCTGCACTGCGGACTTTTGTTGTGCTGGTAGTGGGAATGATGCCCCAACTGGCCTTTGTTCTGCTGTATATTACTATCCTGGGGGTCAAGATGATGATTCCTCTACTGGGTATAACTGCAAGGAAGGTAAATGGCTCTTATGAGGAAACATTAATTTTGTAAACTTTTATGATGATCCAATTTCTCAACTGATTTCAAATGGATTTTCATTTACTGCACATATATTTTGACTTGTTATTTGTATAAGGTCACTCTTATTCCACTTGAGTGATGTTCATAATTTCATATATTTATTAACTTGTTATGTTTAAGCCACTATTGCCCCACTGGAAGTGACGCTCCTATCTGATGTCCCTCTGGCTCATACCAGGACAAACTGGGCATGGCATACTGCAAGGATTGTCCACAGGGTTTATACAGTGATATTACAATGGCACCAATCATACTCTACAATACTTCATATTGCCCCATGGCTGAGTTAGTAAGCGAGTAAGTAGACTGACTGACTTTTTTACAGCAGCCCTCAGCTCAGGATTTCATTCTGTGTTTTAATTAACCAAATATTATCGTCAGTAAGAACATGCAGTGATTGTGGTTGTGATTGAGTGGCATCTTTGTTGTCCACTGATTCAGTCATTGATAGGACATGAGCAAAAACAAACCATTGATTGCTTAGGTATAATTACAATGTAAATATTTTTGTCCTTCTCATCTCATTAAATGTGACATTGTATGAAATGAAAATAATAGAGATTTCTTTACAGAATCACTATAAATTAGAAGAATAACAGTTTTTATGTCACCACCACAAGTGGTGACATATTGTTATGGTCTCAAACTTTTTTGTGGACAGTGTTCAGTGGTTGGTGTTTATCATTTGGCAGTTGGTGTTTGGCAGTTGGTGTCTGTAACAAATGGCAGGTGTTGACATTTTGCATGTGAATGCCTTGTATAGACAGTTACTTTAGTCCTCCTTTTATTTCATAGGGTACTACTGTGAAGTAAACGCAACATTTGCAACAGAGAATCCCTGTCCTGTAGGGACATTCAACCGCCAAACCCATGCATATGGTATACAGTTCTGTCAGCCATGTACAGGAGGAATTTACTGTGAGACACAAGGGCTGCCTGAGCCTACAGAGCCATGTTACCCTGGTAAGTGATCCTTTACCCCTTGTTAACCTTTAACCTACAATTGAAACTTCTCTATTATATCTTCCCCAAGTGTATTCTATTCTACATACCAGGTATTTTCAGTATTATAGTCATAAAACAGCTTTTTGCATGAAAAGCAATCTGTTTTTGTTCTTCTTTATTAAGTAGAGAGGATATTAAAGATAAATGGATAATTTGAATTGTAAACATGTATTTTTTACAATACAGGTTACTTCTGTGCATTTGGATCAGATAGTACCATACCCTTCCTGGGGGCAAGTGCTGATGAGTGTCCCACGTGTCATTATTGCCCCCAACAGTTCTCTGCCCCACTAGCTTGTCCCCCAGGGACATAAAACTGTGCAACTAGGAGGGCATCTGTAGGAAACTGTTTGAACTGCACTGGTGGGAATTACTGTCCCAAATGGAATATGACTGCAGTGGGTTCACCCTGGGATGCTGGTATGTAGCTTGATGCAGTATGAGAGGGGATAGGCTGATTTCAATCAAAACTTTCTCTGTCCATTTTCATGACTTGGGTTTTACAAAAAGAACATACTGTCAGTTACTGCACTTGCCATTAGGAAAACACCCAACATTAGATATTAGACTGATTCATTGTGATTCATTAATGGTACTGTTCAAACATATCATTTTAATTTCATTTTATTTTACTTCGACTTACAGTTAACTGCAGTGCCAGTTTCTACTGCCCCCAAGGTGAGATCACTGAGAACCCTCAGGCATGCCCCATAGGCTACTACTGTCCTGAGGGCACATACGACTCATTCATCTACGACAGTGACGGATACCAAGGTAACATTGGTCAGAGTGAGTGAAAGTTATGTCCTGCAGGTTTCTATTGTGATAACAGTAATGGTGCTGTGGTGATTGATGAAACAGTGACATGTCCAGCTGGATACCACTGTTCCCCTGGTGAGTGAGAACTTAGCTTGCATAATCAAGTCTCAACTAAATAATTGTTAAAATAGCATTTCTATTAGAGAGGTTTCGCACATTTTTACTTAATTCACCAGATTTAGGCATAGCAGTTCGATCAGAATGAGATTGGGTTGCAGATGCGTTTTAGCCATATCCCTTATGTGAAACCTCCCCAATAATTTAAGAATTTTACTTATTTTTAAAATAACTGATGATTCAAATCTTTATATTACATAAGGTATCAAGCTACTGCCATTTTATGATGAAAAACTAAAAAATATTCTTTACATTTTAATCTTCATGCCATACTTCTAATCAAAACACAAAGAAGCAAAAATTACTATGCACCACCTATATCTACATATATACCTATATCTACATATCGTCCTATTATTTCCACATTGTTACAATTGCATTTTCACTGATATTGAGAAATCAGAGGTTGAAATATAGGTCTTCATAACTTTTGAGTTGTAATTTTTGAAACCTATTTTTGGTATAGGTAATCATGTGTATATGTAGGCCTTGCAGAGCAAAAATCACTGATTAACATTTAAAACACATCTTTTTGAAATAACAAAATAACCCTGAAAACTGAATTTTTATTCACTTCCATTTTGTTACTGTCCGTTTACCATTAGTCTGCCCATCTAATTATACAGCATATTATTCATGTTCCATTTTGACTGGTAAAGGTATAACAGGTCAGTAATTGATTAAGTTCACCGAATGAACTTATATTTTATTTACAAATAATGTGCAAATCTGCTTTCTTTTGTTTGTACTACATGTTTAGTGTCATGATTTATGATCTCCTTTGTTAATTACCTACAAAGTATAATAGTAGGAGATCCTCCTATTATTTCCACATTGTTATAACTATTTGTTATAACTATTAGTCACATGATCAAAATTATGTGCCTGATTGGCTATGACAAGGTGGCATTCAATTTTTTTCCTCATTTTGTACTTATAACAATGTGGCACTGGATATCTCCAAAAGAAGATGAGATCCATTAAAATGGACCTCAGAAATGAATTCCTCGTGAAAAATTGGGAAAGATTGTATACTTATCTCAAAACCTGTCAAAAGTGAGTTATAACAATGTTGAAATAATGGGACGATATATATATGACAAGACCTCAACCAAGCCATCATGTATTTTAAGTATGAAAAAATCTGACAAACGGCTCTGTCCTTTTGGCACATTTGGAAATGACACAGGATACAACAATACAGCTGTAGCTCCACCTGTACCCTATGTCTCGGGGGAATGTACTGTGGGATTGTAAGGCAGACATGGTCTTCAGGATATTGCCAGGCTGGATATTTCTCCCATTGTTAGTCAGAGATCGCTTCACCTTAAACAAAACCACTGATGCTAACATTTGTCTAGAAGGTAAAGATGATCGAAATAAATTCTAAAAAATGTAGACATTGATTCTTGAATTCTATCATTACTGAATGAGATGTGAATTTGAAATGTATTGGGTAAAGGTCAGATTAGGTTCAGGGTGAAAGTTGATCACCAATGAGCAAACATGGTCTTCACAAAAACTGAACCAATTAACCCATTCTGGATTCTGGCAATCTGCAGTCTACCAGTTTGACAGGAACAACTGGTTTATTATGAGTGATACCCTGAATGAAACATCAACCACTTTACTTGGCATTTAAAGTACCTTTGCTTGATACTTTTGTTAAATGTAATAACCTATGTCCACTACTGGATGATATATTTGTTAAATGATCGGTCCATGGAAAGAGTAAAAAGCATGCCTTATGTATTGATAACTCCTTACATTAAGGCTCTTAGGGTTTGGAAGGCACAGAGAGTCCTAGTCCCTGAAGTAGAAGGGTATTAGTTGTGCAATGACATCATACTCCCAATTAGTGTTTTGTTCCTAAAACTTTAAGTTGGGGTTGGTAGTGAGACCCATGACTTAAGTTATAGCAGATTTATTATTATTTCCTCAAATCTACTCAGATTTTCTT